CTGGAGTCTATGAGAATGATTTATTTTTCTCAAAGTATGTTTGAGGTCAATGGTATGATTGGAAAAGGGATTGTATGTAGGATGAATTATTTAGTCTACTTATTCTGGTTCTATATATAATTAGTGTTCGGTTTATTTAGGGTTTTTCTAATTTTTTGCTCATATTTGGAGAGATTAGTTGTTTGTTTATATTTTGGGGGAAGCTCTTTGCTGGAGTGTGTTTTTTCAAAATATATTTTTCATTGTCATATTGTTTAAGACAATCCAATATGAACCTGAGACAGTTTGGAGATGAGTTGATTTGACGTCTTAGGTAAAATTTGTTTTGAGCACATGCTAGATCAGCCATGCATTTTGGTGTATATTGTGTTACATAATCTTTTTAATTATTTTAAGGAAAAAATTGTCTATATCTTTAAATATGTTTTTTAGTAACGCTTATTTATCTTAGAACATTTAAAACTAAATTAACTATTTTAGTAATAAAATTCCATAATTATTTTTAATAAATATTTTGGTGAATAGATATACTGTTTAAAAAAAAAAAACTAATGTAGAAGACTAAAAGTATATGTACAGAATTATTATGCAGAAGGGAATCAATATATATATGATATATATATTTCTGGACACATGGATTACTGTGTTTAGTATATATGCTCTTGATTTTTTCATAGATTAAACGTTTGAACTGAGGAAAGACATTTTTATATGTTCCAATAACTTAAACAACTTTTATAAAACTTAAAGCCAAACATATTTTATAAGATAATTCAGAATATAAAAGTAGTTGAGAACTTTTTTTTCGAAAAAAACAGTAGCAACTTCCCCATTTTTAAAAAGGAAAACCAACATCGATGAGGTAGCAATATAGCATTATTCAAATAGAAAATAGAGGGCTGAAATACTTTAAGATATATCATTGCTTATGCAAATGTTTTCTTGGCAACGTTGCAAGTTACTGTCGCGGGATACTTATTGATCTCGACACCAGTTGAAGTAGTTCCTATAGTTGGTGCCTCCTCACAATCGTTGACATCAATATCCACCGTAGTAGCCAATGATACATTCCCAGACATACCATCGTTGCTGTCCTGTGGAAATGAGCACATTTTAGTTTTCTTGTACTACAGAAGAACTGTGATAAAATATACTCATATGCTGTGATATAGTGAAGTTTTGGTGACTGGCTGTGAAATTTTATTTGGGTACCCTGACCTGACATGTGTAAAGCTTCCCAACCATGTACGCAATAAAAGGGGTAGCTGAGTACATCTGGATTCTCTCCCTCTCCAGCCTATGTGTCCAGTGAATGAATTGTGAATGCTTAATTCAATAGTTTGAAGATAATTATGCATAATGACATGTGTTAAGGTAGACACGTACCAATAGATGCCTAGCTTCATAGGCTTGGATGGTATGTAATATCTGCATTTCCCCATCGAAACAAACAAATATAGACTCTCAGCAGTCTAATCATCACCAATATTCATCCCCACGGCCCACACGGTACCTAGAAGAGAGGCAAAGTATTTTAAAAGGATGGTGGTTGTTGATGTGGTTATGATAGATCATTCTACTTTATTAGGAAGATCAAGTTGCAGAGTACAATTTTGAAAAAGGTGCTGAGCTATATATGAAGTAGATAGTTACCCATCGATTTGAATGGTCACTGATACTGCTCTTGATAGCAGTAAGCTGACCGATAATGTCTGGAAAAATTAAATATAAAAAGCCTAAAGGTTACAATTGTGAACATGGGAGAAACAGATAGTAAGTGAATAA